TCTGTATCCGCAAAAAGAACAGGAGTACTTGTGGCACCTTAGAGACTAACCAATTTATTAGAGCATAAGCTTTCGTGGACTACAGCCCACTTCTTATATTTCAGGGGTTGGAAAACTTTGGCTCCTGGCCCGTCAGGGTAAGCCACTGGCGGATCAGCACATTTTGTTTACTTAGAGCATCTGCAGGCATGGAGCCCCTCAGCTCCCTGTGGCCGCAGTTCACCGTTCCCAGCCAATGGGAATGGTGAACCGTGGCCACAGGGAGCTGAGGGTCTCCATGCCTGCAGACGCTCCAAGTAAACAAAACTACAATGTATTAGATCAGGGATTGGCAACCTTTGGCACACGGCCCGCCAGGGTAAGCACCCTGGCGGGCCGGGCCGGTTTGTTTACCTGCCGTGTCTGCAGGTTCGGCCGATCGCAGCTCCCACTGGCCGCAGTTCGCTGCTCCAGGCCAATGGGGATGGAGGAAAGTGGCGCGGGCCGAGGGATGTGCTGGCTGCCGCTTCCTGCCACCCCCATTGGCCTGGAGCGGTGAACCGCGGCCAGCGGGAGCCGCGATCGGCCGAACCTGCAAACGCGGCAGGTAAACAAACCGGTCCGCCCCGCCAGAGTGCTTACCCTGGTGGGCCGCGTGACAAAGGTTGATGATCCCTGTATTAGATATTCAATTCAATGATTCCATAGAGTTTAAAATCATCAGATTTTGGTGTAGACCCGTTTATAAGCTGATCCTTGCTCTTTGATGCGTCACTTTTTTACCAAAAATATTCGGCTTATAAATGAGTATATATGGTAATGATTGTTTAACAGCATGATTAATCACAATAGAATACCATTTATTTAAATATTTTTGGATGTTTTCTACCTTTTCAAATATATTTATTTCAATTACAACGCAATACAGTGCTCACTTTATTTTTATTACAAATATTTGCACTGTAAAAAACAAAATAAATGATATTTTTAAATTCACCTAGTACAAGTACTGTAGTGCAAACTCTTTATCATGAAAGTTGAGCTTACAAATGTAGAATTATGTACAAAAAAACCTGCATTCAAAAATAAAACAATTTAAAACTTTAGAGCCTACTAGTCCACTCAGTCCTACTTCTTTTACAGCCAATCACTCAGACAAACAAGCTTGTTTACATTTGCAGGAGATAATTCTTTCCGCTTCTTGTTTACAATGTGACCTGAAAGTGAGGACAGGTGTTCGCATGACTCTGCTGTAGCTGGCATCACAAGGTATTTACGTGCCAGATGCGCTAAAGATTCATAAAAACAACAAGGAGTCTGGTGGCACCTTAAAGACTAACAGATTTATTTGGGCATAAGCTTTCGTGGGTAAAAAACTCACTTCTTCAGATGCAGATAAAGATTCTTATGTCCCTTCATGCTTCAACCACCATTCCACAGGACGTGTGTCCATGCTGATGATGGGTTCTGCTCGATAACGATCCAAAGCAGAGTGGACTGACACATTCACTTTCATCATCTGAGTCTGGAGCCACCAGCAGAAAGTTTGTTTTCTTTTTTGGTGGTTCAGGTTCTGTAATTTCGGCATCGGAGTGTTGCTCTTTTAAGACTTCTGAAAGCATGCTCCATACCTCGTCCCTTTCAGATTTTGGAAGGCACTTCAGATTCTTAAACCTTGGGTTGAGTGCTGTAGCTATCTTTAGAAATCTCACATTGGTATCTTCTTTGTGTTTTGTCAAATCTGCAGTGAAAGTGTTCTTAAAACGAACATGTGCTGGGTCATCAACCAAGACTGCTGTAACATGAAATATATGGCAGAATGTGGGTAAAACAGAGCAGAAGACATACAAATCTCCCCAAAGGAGTTCAGTCACAAATTTAATTAATGCATTTTTTTTAAAATGAGCGTCACCAGCATGGAAGCATGTCCTCTGGAATGGTGTCCAAAGCATGAACGGGCATACAAATGTTTAGCATATCTGGCACGTAAATACCTTGCAATGACCGTTATAAAAGTGCCATGCAAATGCCTTTTCTCACTTTCAGGTGACATTGTAAATAAGAAGCGAGCAGCATTATCTCCCATACATATACACAAACTCGTTTGTCTTAGCAATTGGCTGAACAAGAAGTAGGACCGTGTGGACTTGTAGACACTAAAGTTTTACATTGTTTTGTTTTTGAGTGAAGTTATGTAACAAAAATTCTACATTTGTAAGCCGTATTTTCATGATAAAGAGATTGCGCTACAGTACTTGTATGAGGTGAATTGAAAAATGCTATTTCTTTTATGATTTTTACAATGCATATATTTAATAAAAAATAATATAAAGTGAGCACTGTACACTTTGTATTCTGTGTTGTAATTGTTGTAAATCAATCTATTTGAAAATGTAGAAAAACATCCAAAATATTTAATACATTTCAATTGGTATTCTATTGTTTAACAGTGCGATTAAAACTGCAATTAATCACGATTAATATTTTTAATCGCGTGAGTTAACTGCAATTAATTGACAACCCTAGGAAAAAAATAACATCTTAAAATTCTAAGTTATCAACTAAACTTCATCCGATTATTCCAGTTGAAACAATGACTTGAAAAATTAGCTAGAACATACAATTTAATGCGAAATAAATAGATACTGTATTTAAAAGCTGAGAGATCATATTTTCCACTTTTTTTAAACACCAAACAGGTTTATAAAAAATAAGAATGGTCTCAAACCTTCATCCATCTCACCCAAGTTCCAAGTTTTCTCAAGATTTGGAAAAAAGTTAATAAAAATCTCACTTTAGGTTGTGGAATTTCTATCACTGGAGGTTTTTAAGAGCAGATTAGATAAACATCTGTTAGAGAAAGTCTGGCTATACTTAGTCCTGCCTCTGTGCAGAGGGCTGGACTAGATAATATATCCATGTCCCTTCCAGTGCTACATTTCTATTGTCTAAACTTTGCCTTTAATTAAAATGGTTTGTCTGCAACTCTACCCATAAGAATTAAGAACCACTACAGAGGTCATGAGACCGTAAATCAGCAGTAACGTGAGAGAGACAAGGCCAGATTTATAGATTATAAGGCCAGAAGGAACCATTCTGATCATCTACGTCTGACCTCCTGTATAACACAGGCCATAGGTCTTTCCGTAATTCTTGTTTGAATTAGAATATATCTTCCTTAGAAAAACATCCAATCTTGATTTTAAAATTTCCAGTGATTGAGAATCCACAGAACCTTTGTAAATTGTTCCACTGTTTTATGACCCTCACTGTTAAAAATTTGCCTAATTTCTAGTCTGATTTAGTCTAGCATCATCTTCCAGCCTTTAGATCTTATTATACCTTTGTCTGCTAGAATGAAGAGACCTCTTATCTACATGGGGAACAGAAATTTAACTGAGCAAGTTAACCTCCTCTTTGTTAAGGAGCTCAGTCTGTTTAGCTTAATTCTCTCTCTGTTAGGCCTGTTTTCAATGTTTTTTTCTCTGAAGCACTCCCCAATTTATCAAAATCCTTCTGGTGTAGACCAGAACTGGACACAGTATTCTAGGAGAGGTCACAGAAGTGCCAAATATAGAGGAAATATAACCTCCCAACTCCTATTCAATTGTCTCCTATTAATACATCCAAGTATTGCATTACTGCTTTTGGCCACAGTCTCTCACAGGGAGCTCATTTTCAGTTGATTATCCAGCAGCTACTAAAGTTAGACATTTTTAAATTAGCAGTTCTGGATAACTTGCTATCAAGAGTCTTAAAAGAGCTGATTGAGCTTGCTGGACCATTAATGTTGATTTTCAGTAACTCTTGGTACACCAAAGAAGTTCCAGAAGACTGGAAGAAAGGTACTGTTGTACCAATATTTTAAAAGAGTGAATGGGCCAATCAAGCTAATTATAGGCCTATCAGGCTGACACTGCTCACAAGCAAGATAATGAAGCAGCTGATACAGGACTCAATAAAAAATTAAAGGAGGGTAATATAATAAGTGCCAATCAATGTGGATTTATGGAAAATAGATCCTGTCAAATTAACTTGATTTTTTTTATGAGATGACAAATTTGGTTGATAAAGGTACTAGTGTTGATATAATATACTTAGACTTCTGTAAGGCATGTGACTTGGTACCACACATAATTTTGCTTAAAAAAACTAGAATATAATAAAATTAGCATGGCACACATTAAAGGGATTAAAAACTGGCTAACTGATAGGTCTCAAAATGTAATAATAGATGAGGAATCACCATTGAGCAGGTGTGTTTCTAATGGGGTCCTGCAGGGAACAGTTTTTGGCCCTGTGCTATTTAACATTTTTATCAATGATCAGGATGAAAACATAAAATCACTGAAAGTTTTCAGATGGCACAAATATTGGGGGAAATGATAAATAATTAAGAGGACAGGTCTCTGATACAGAGTGATCTGAACTGCTTGGTAAGTGGAGTGCAGGCAAACTATGTGTTTTAATATGGCCAAATAAGAAGTCAGACATCTAGGAACAAAAAATATAAGCCATACTTCGAAAATGAAGGACTCTTCCCTGGGAAGCAGTTACTTTTTAAAAGATTTGGAGGTCATGGTGCATCATCAGCTGAACACGAGTTCCCAGAGTGATGCTGTAGCAAAAAGAGCTATTGCAATCCTTGGATGGATTGCCAGGGGAATATCGAGTAGGAGTAGGGAGGTTACGTTACTTCTGTATTTGGCACTGGTGCAACTGCTATTGAAATACTGAATTCTGGTCTCCACAATTAAAAAAAAGATGTTGATAAATTGGACAGAGTTCAGAGAAGAGCCATTAGAATGATTAAAGGATATAAAACCTGCTTTATAGTGATAGACTCGAAGATTTCAGTTTCTTTAGCTTAACAGAGAGAAGGGTAAGACGTGACTTGATCATAGTCTACAAGTACCTACATGGGGAAGAAATATTGGATAATGGGCTCTTCAATCCAGCAGACAAAGGTATAACAAGATCCAGTGGTTTGAAGTTGAAGCTAGACAACTTCAAGACTAGAAATAAGGTGTAAATTTTTAACACAGAGGGTACTTAACCACTGGAACAACTTACTAGAGGTTCTGGTGGATTCTCCATCACCTACAATTTTTAAATCAAAACTGGATTTAAAAAAAAAAAAGGGTCTAGTTGAAAGAGGAATTTTTGAGGGGGAAGTTCTATGGTCTGTGTTATACAGGAGATACAGTGATCACAATGGTCCCTTCTGGCCTTGGAATCTATAAAACTGACTTCAATATCTTGTAACAGGGCTTCTTCTCGGCCTCGGTGGGTCCCGCACTTCCTTCTAGTGGTGGGTCAGGATAGCATCTCATCTCCCAGAATTCCCCCCCGCTTATAGTGGATGGGGAAATTCTGTCTCCAAGTGGCCCTCCCATTTCTGGGTCTGCTAGGCACTTACTGCTTCACTGGGGCTTCTGGCCTCCTCGGTGGCCATCCAGTGAGAGAAAAAGGGGCGTGGGGGGCCCAGTCCTGCCCTCTACTTTGGGCCCCAATGCAGGGACCCTCCAAGTAGCAGCCTCATGCTGCCAGTTCCCAGGAAAGCTGCTAGCTTCCCTGGGTTACTTCCTCACGCCCCTTGGCTTATTGTCCCCACTTTGCTTGGGCAGGATTCCTCCTGCTGGGGAGAACCCCATGTCTCTGGTGGCCCTTCTGGGCGTGGCAGCACCACACCAAATGCATGGCTCAGTCTCTCCCCTTCTGGCAGGGTCCTTTTCTTCAGATCTTTGGACCTAGAAGGGTCCTTAGCTCCTGTTTAGGGTAGGGTTTCTCCCCAATCTCTATACCTGCGGGCTTCTCCCCTGGCCCTTGTCAGCTTCCACACCACTCGGCTCTCAACACCTACCACCCACACTGATTGGCTGGAGGGTAAGGCTTTTAACCCATTCTGGCAGGTTCTTAATTGGTTCCAGGTGTCCTAATTAACCTGGAGTAACCCCTGCTCAGTTACCAGGGGAAGAGGGACCTGCTTATCCTGAGGCTAATATACCTTCCTTCCTGCACTCTTCTGTAGCCGTCTGGCCTGACCCTGTCACAATCTGAAAAAGTGCAAGCTGAAACAAACTGACTTGGTTTTTGTAACCCTATTTTGTCTATGTTTGATGGGGTGTACCAGCCTTTGGGGTCCCCTACTGGACTCCTCCCCATGAAACAGTTCTCTGTGAGAAAGAGAGCAGCCATGTTGGGAACCAGTGAGATCTGTCTCTCCAGCAACCAGAAGGGCTGGAGACCAGCAACAGTCAATCAAGGCCCAGAAGGCCAAAATAAAAGGATCTGCCTGCTGTCAGTGTCAGCAAGGCAGTTCCTGGCTGGAGCCAGAGGAGCAAGGAAGGACATTGCCAAGGTCACAGCCAGAGGAACCAGTGCAGATCCAGTGCCCATTACTGGCCACAATTGGGGGCAGGAGTTCAAGATTCAATTTCAGAGAGGGAATTTCGCCCAGAAGGGCGAGAAACTATTTTGGTTATAATTGGCCCTAAAGGACAAGGAATTGCTTCTATTTTGAGTCTGTTATACCCTAGAAGGCTTTTGAACTGTGACACCTGGCTGGAGGGCTGAGCCACAGAAGACTCACAGAGGCTGACAGACAGCATGCAGGGGGTGCTGGGAGCTGCAGACAGCAGCAACACCAGGCTAGCATGTAAAGTGGCGCTCATAGAGGTGACTGCAACCCATCACAGTACAGTTGTCTACAATCCACTCCAAAGCTGATTTTGGCATCTCTATTGCAACATTGTACTATTGGGCAATGTTACTAGGCAGCTTCACATACCACAGAAGGGTAATCTGCCACCACTATATGATGGCATCTTTGTAATCCGAGTGCCCTGGGACAAACAGCACACATCCAATAAGATATCACACTTTCGACAGACGTACCTTTTTAAAACAGCAAAGCTTTCAGAACTCCCTGTCCCTCACTGAAACTGTTTGTGGAAACATTGTGTTCATTGGCTAAATATGGGTCCCCTTAAAAGTATAAAAGTGTGATAAAGGATATCTCTTAGCATTGCTTAACTCTGATAGAATTAAAGCTCCGTCTAATCATGTGCAAGAGAAGTGAAGCAAGATCAGCTGTCAGCATGACTGGACAAAGCACAATTGGAAGAGCAAAAATTGCAAGAAACACAGGACCTTCTTGGTAACGTAGTCATTTTCTGGTATGATGAGAGTGTAATATGGCACTGAGGATGTGGGTAAACTCACCATCTTGGAGTGTCCATAAGTTACGAGTGATCTATTATACCTATTATATTTGTATCGCTCCACTAATGCAAAGCTGCCCAAAAGCTGACTTACTAGCCACAAGAGGGTCCCCCAGCACATGGGGGACCTCAGATGGTGTAGAGCACTGCAGGGTCCACGCCAATCCTCCACCCACCCCACAACTGGAGCAGGGGGTATGGCTTGGGATGAGGGTGTGCCCCAGGTACTTGTGTGCCCCAGCTGCCATCTGGAGCAAGGGATAGCTGGAAAACTTAAAGATACCTTCAGGCTACTCTAAACATACGTTAGGAGACTCATGAAGTGCTCAGCCAAGATAATATGGAGGGGAACGCAAAGGGCTGCTAAGCACTCTTTCTTCAGAGTTGCATCAAGCACACTTTAGCCACAGTTGAGGATCTGGGCCCTTATCAGCCTACTAGCATAGTCTGACAACAACATAATTCCAGAATTTTCTGCTTTTGGAGATTGCCAGACACAATGATGCACCCTTAGTTTGGAATTAATGCAGGTACCTACAATGCATACATTACCTAATAGCTGCTAAACCCTGACTTCACAATGGACAGCTACACTTAGACTTCTTTGGACTGTAAACTCTGCTCCAATTACATGTTTTACTTTCACATTACAGAATCATAGAAACAGAGGGCTGGAAGGGACATCAAGAAGTCATCAAGTCCAACCCCCTGCTCTGATGCAAGACCAAGTAAATCTGGACCACCCCAGACAGGTGTTTATCCAACCTGTCTCTAAAAGCCTCCAATGATGGGGATTCCACAATCTCCCTTGGAAGCTAGTTCCAGAGCCTAATCACTCTTATAATTAGAAAGTTTTTCATAATGTCTAACCTAAAAATTGCTTGCTGCAGATTAAGCCCATTACTTCTTGGTCTACCTTCAGTGAACAATTGATCACCATCCTCTTTAGAGCAGCCCTTACCATATTTGAAGACTGTTAGGTTCCCCCTGTCTTCTTTTCCCAAGACTAAACATGCTCCCTTTTTTAAAACCCTTTGTCATAGGTCAAGTTTACTAAAACTTATCATTTTGTTGCTCTTCTCTCGATTCTTTCTAATTTGTCCACATCTTTCCTAACATGTGCCCCCAGTACAGGGTTTAGGCTCCCAGAAAGACTGAATATTGGGTGCTGGGAAAGTCCCTGTTAACTGAGGAAACCCCTGGGCTAAGTGAATCTTAATTTCTGTGAACTGCAGGGGGGCATGGCCCAACCTCTTGGTCTGTGCTGGAGCAGACTGGTGTATCTAGCTCAGCAAAACAGGAGTGGAGGGAAGCCTTGTCTGGCAGTGGGGGACGTGCGGGTGGGGGGGGACTCTCAGTGGTATCCCAGCACAACTAGTGACAGTCTTGAGGGAGTTTCTGTGATCCAACGTCACAACACCCCAGAATTAGTTTTTTTTCCACAATTGCATCCCATTGTTAATTCATATTCAGTTTGTGATCCACTATAAACCCCCAGACTCTTTTCAAAAGTACTACCATCTCGTCAGTTATTTGCCATTTTGTAATTGTGCATTTGATTTTTTCCCTTCCTAAATGAAGTACTTTGCACTTATGTTTATTGAATTTCATCTTGTTGAATTCAGATCAATTCTTCAATTTGTCAAGGTAGTTTTGAATTCTAATCCTGTACTCCAAAGTGCTTTCAACCCCTCCCAGCTTGGTGTCATCTACATATTCAATAAGCATACTCTCCACTCCATTATTCAAGTCATTAATGAAAATATTGAATAATACTGAACCTAGGACTGACCCCTGTGGCACCCCTCTAGATACAACCTTCCAGTTTGGCAATGAACCACTTATAAGCTGTTCTTTGAGTATGGTCTTTCAAACAGTTGTGCACCCACCATATAGTAATTTCATCTAGATCACCATTTCCTCTGTTTGCTTATGAGTTTGTCATGTGGGACTATATCAAAAAGCTTACTAAAATCATGATATATATCTATCACCCACTGCTCCCCCTATCCACTAGGCCAGTAAAACAGTCAAAGAAGGAAGTTAGGCCGGTTTGGCATGATTTGTTATTCACAAATTCATGCTGACTATTCCTTAGAACCTTATTATCCTCGAGGTGCTTACAAACTGATTGTTTAGTAATTTGTTCCAATATCTTTCCAGGTCCAGGTATCAAAGTTAGGCTGATTGGTCTATAATTCCCTGGGGACTCTTTGTTCCCCTTTTTAAAAACAGGTACTATGTTTGCCCTTCTCTAGTCCTTTGGGACCTCACCCATCCTTCAGTAGTTCTCAAAGATAATTGCTAACAGTTCTAAGATTGCTTCAGCTAATTCCCTAAATACACTAGGATTAATTTAATCAGGCCCTGACAACTTGAATACATTTAATTTATCTAAATATTCTTTAATTTGTTCTTTCCCTATTTTGGCTTGCACTCCTTTCCCCTTGTTATTAATATTAATTATGTTGCGTATCTGGTTACCATCAACTTTTTAAATAAAGACTGAAGCAAAATAGGCATTAAACACCTCAGCCTTCTTAACGTCATCAATTAGCTCTCCTTTCCCACTAAGTGGAGGACCTACACTTTCTTTTGTCTTTCTCTTGTTCCTAATATATGCAAAGATCCCCTTCTTATTACCTTTTATGTCCCTTGTTAGGTGCAACTCATTTTGTGCCTTAGCGTCTCTGATTTTGTCCCTAAACACTTGTGCTATTCTTTTGTACTCCTCCTCAGCAATTTGTCCATATCTCCACCTTTTGTAGGATTCTTTTTTGATTATTAGGTCACTAAAGAGCTCCTAATGGAGCCATATTGGCTTCTTAACATTCTTCCCATCTTTCCTTCCCATCAGGATAGTTTGGAGTTGTGCCTTTAATATTGTCTCCAAAAGAAACTGCCAGCTCTCTTGAACACCCTTTCCCCTTATATTGTTTCCCATGGGAAGACCTACCTACCACTTCTCTGAAATTGTTAAAGTCTGATTTCTTTTTAAGTCAATTGTCCTTATTCTGCTGCTCTCACTCCTTCCTTTCCTTAGAATCATTAAATCGATCATTGCCCCCTCTGCTCTACTCTCCACCTTCTCCTCTGTCATCCTCATCCCATCCCTTCTCTTCTCTCCCTTTTTCTTTTAATCCCATTTCCTACTTCTTCCCCTTGGAAAAAAAAATCCTCTGAATAACTAAGCAACGCTAGCCTTCATCCTGGCTATTTACAGGTAGATTGTATCCCTTCCCAAATAACCATTGTCTGTTTTTTTAACTTTTTAGACTATGAACTCTTTGGTGCAGGGACACTGTTCTTACTCGGTACAGCACCCAGCACAATGGGATCCCATCCTGATAAATAAAACTGTCTGCCATGCAGACTGTTTCCATAATACAATTCCTCATTTTAAATATACAGATTATTTAATCAAAATATAATTCTGTTTATGTCAACAGGAATCATGGGAATCCCTTTTTCTGGAAAAGGAATTGCAGAGGGATGGTGTAAGAAAGGAAGCTCTCTCATACTTAGGCTTGGAAGGATTAGATTTTTATCAATAAATGTCCTTAAATGTCATTTCAGCAAATGCACAAATTGATGAAAAATATTTCCATAAATTATAGAAATTTACAGATAAGCAAAGAAAAATGCTGCTTGAGAATTTATTAGAGTCCCACCTTAATGTGTACACAACACGTTGTAATGAATGTTGTATAAAGCATACGTTTATACTCTGCTAAAACAGCCAGCTTATAAAGCTTTACCTTTTTGCATCTCAATGTCTGTCATTAAATAATTGTCTGAGCTACTTCTAACTTCCTACAACTGTGAAAATTTAGATACTGATAGAAAAAAAGCTTGAAATGAACAATAATATCAATAAAAATGGTAAAAAGACAAAACTTAAATTCTACCAAGTCTACACATACTTCATTAGCAATCCTTAGAAGTCAGGAGATTTCCAGCTGTCTGCTACTGTAGCTTGGGCTGTAAAACAATTGGACATTAAGTTCCAAAGAAAGTTTCCTAAACACTGTTTCCAAACAGCTATATTCAGACCTTTGACTGAATTTGCAGAATGAATTCATTTATCTGGATTTAAGTGCAGAGTGCTTTGAAATGGCACAAACATAGAAATCTACCTTTTTTGTTGATATATAAATTGCTGGTCTGAGTGCCAAACTAGAGGATTTGTCCAAAGAGGAGTTTGATTCAAAGATTTCTTGAGGGTGAAAGATCAGGAAACTGCTGAATCTAATGTTACCATAGACTAGGGTCTAGTTAATACAGTAACTCCTCACTTAAAGTCGTCCTGGTTAACGTTATGTTGCTGATCAATTAGGGAGCATGCTCATTTAAAGTTGTGCAATGCTCCCTTCTAACGTCATTTGGCAGCCGCCTGCTTTGTCCACCGCTTGCAGGAAGAGCAGCCCGTTGCAGCTAGCTGGTGGGGGCTTGTAACCAGGGTGGACCGGCAGCCCCCCTATCAGTTCCCCTAAGTTCCCTGTGCTGCAGCCGCCCAGCAGGCTATCAATCGGCAGCTCAGCTGTCCCTCCCTCCCCTGCCATGTGCTGCTCCTGCCCTCTGCTTTGGACCTGCTCCCAGAGATTCCTGCTTACTGTGTAGGGAGGGGAAGGGGGGGGCTAATGTCAGGGTGTCCCCCCTGCTCCTGCACCCCACTTACCCCTTCTCCATATAGAGCAGGGAGGGGACACGGACGGAGAGAGACAGAGAGAGCTTGGGGGCAGCAGCTGCTGTCTCAACTTCCTGATCCACTTAAAAAGACAATGCACTTAAGAGTGGGTCAGCTTACTTAAAGGGGCAGTGTGCATCTCTCTCTCTCTCCCCCACACACAAGGTGTGGGTCTGTCTCTGTCTGATCTGCTATGCTGTCTCCCCTCCCTCTTGTTCGTGCTGCCTTGATGAGAGGCTACATTAACAACAATGTGTTAACCCTTGAGGGCTCAGCCGAATGCTAGTTCATCATTTAGCAGCAAGGCATTCCCTGGGAAATATCCCTCCCTCTTCCACTCTCTAACTTCACCACCTCAACCAAGCTTCACAATCATCATAGCTGTGCAAAAGTATTAAATTGTTTAAAACGTATACTGTGTGTATATCTATATAATATATAGTTTTGTCTGGTGAAAAAAAAATTCCCTGGAACCTAACCCCTCCTATTTACATTAATTCTTATGGGGAAATTGGATTCGCTTAACATCGTTTCGCTTAAAGTCGCATTTTTCAGAAACATAACTACAATGTTAAGTGAGGAGTTACTGTATAATACTCCCCCTTGGTTACTAACTACTACCCCATCCAACAATTCCACATTTTGATAATCAAAATGCCTGCAGCAATTTTCCTTCTTTTATTTGGCCAAACTAGTTAGAGAATTCCCTCAAATAATAGAAATGCTGGATGGAACAGTAAGTTTTTTGTTTTATCTCCTGTCAAATTAATGGTATAAAACACGCTTAATGTAGCTGGTATTCATAGAAGAGTACTGGTTCATCTTTTAGTTGGAATCAAGAGATTTCCCTCCTCAATAATGCTTAGTTTTATACTTGTTTACTGATAAAACCATCCTAAAGGAATCTATTTGTGAATTTCAGCATAACTTTAAAAATGGAAAATCCCATCCAACTCATCTGCAGAAATTGTTTGTCTCTGCTTTCAGAGATGGACTCTTTCTTTAGTGTTTTATCCTTCCATGTTATTGGTGTGTTTTAAGAAAACACTCTTACATGAGAAAACAGAACAAAGCTTGCCAATGTGCAAATCTCTAACAGTGATAGGAAAATCCTTACAGAATGGGTCAAAAAACAGGCTAACACTCCTAAAGAAACTTGCATTCAAGTGTAAAGCAGAGAAGCTTTGGGGTTTATTCTCTGTAATGGTTCATATTACTTCTATGATTAATACTATAAATATCAGTTTTTAATCATTTTTATATTTCCAAACACCTGCAAGTAACAAATACACCTCTACCCCGATATAACGCTGTCCTCGGGAGCCAAAAAAATCTTACTGGGTTATAGGTGAAACCGTGTTGTATGGAACTTGCTTTGATCTGCTGGAGTGCGCAGCCCCGCCCCCCCAGAGCACTGCTTTGCCGCATTATATCCGAATTCGTGTTATATTGGGTCATGTTATATCGGGGTAGAGGTGTAGTACATTTCTGTGACATTTGTGGGGATCACGCAGTAAGGGGTTCTGTCAGCACCTGCCTTGAAGCTTTGGATGCCTTAATGCTATCCTGTTATGGCTTAGAGTTCTGACACCAGTAGCCAGCCTACAAGTACAAAGATCTCAACTCTGGCTTCCACCCACCCTTTTACTTCTTGCAGGGTGACCTCACTAGCCCTTCTGATCCTGAGTCCCCCCAAATCAGTTTCCCCAAGTTAAGAGAAGGGAGTTACCTCACAAGTGGAGAACCAGTGTTGACAGGACCAATTCGATCAGGGTGGATGTAGTCCACTCCCAATAATTGATGAGGAGGTATCAATTCCAGGAGAGGCAAAGCTGCTTTTGTAGTGACATCCACCCTGATTGAATTGGCACTGTCAACACTGGTTCTCCACTTGTAAGGTAACTCCCTTCTCTTCGTGTGTCAGTATATAATGCCTGCATCTGTAATTTTCACTCCATGCATGTGAAGAAGTGTTTTTTTTACCCACGAAAGCTTATGCCCAAATAAATCTGTTAGTCTTTAAGGTGCCACTGGACTTCTTGTTGTTTCCTTACTTAAACTACTTTATTTCTCAGTTTCACAACAATAAGCTGAAAACAGAAGTGCTCCCTGGAAGGTTTTATAAAGTTGCATTGCTTTGTGTTTCTGATTTCAAAAAACCAAAACAACCACCTCTGAAGGCACCAGGTCTGCAAATTGTCCCCTCTCCTAATTTCTTGGACCAAAATAAGGTTTTCATCTTTCCCTCAGACTTCCATTTTCACTTCCTCCCATATTCAACTCAACTCTCTCACGCCTCATTTTCTGAGCACCCTGAAAAAGATTCCCGCTTAGCTGCTTCGGAGTATTCTACAGGTGCCACATCCTTCTCCCTGGCTCGCCAAACAAACAAGCATTCAGTCTCAGAGTCGAGTGAACAGAACCGAGTTTCCAGCTGCATAAATCAGTAGGGAGGGAGGGTTTCTAAGTGTCAGCGCCCTCGTGAAAATTCGGCACTACCCCAAAGGGGCAAAGGACGCCCGGGGGACGGTCGCCCCCTGGGTTTTGCCTCACTGGGTGTCACTGGAGGGTGGTTAAAGGGTGAATCCCCTTAGAAAGCGGCTCACAGAATCAGACAGGCTGCAGAAGCCTCCCGGGCTGTTGTGATTTGACCCTCCGGGGGCTCTTTTCCAGTCCGGTCCCCATGCAGGCTAACCCAGTGCCAAAGCCACCCCCGTTCCCCGTCCCCGTCCCGTTCCGCCCCCCCCCCCCCGGCCACACCTTGATGAGCTTGCAGCGGATCTGAGCGGAGACCATGTGGCTGTTGCGCAGGTTGCCCACCCGGAACATGAGGCACAACTTGCCGTCCCGCTGGGAAATGACGGCGGCCCGGCTGAACATGAGGGTCTCGGCTCGCTTCTTGGGCTGGGACATCTTGATGAACATGCAGCCGATGAGGAAGGCGTCCACGATGGAGCCGAGCAGGGACTGGAAGAGGAAGAGCACGATGCCCTCGGGGCAGCGCTCGGTGATGTAGCGGTGCCCGTAACCGATGGTGGCCTCGGTCTCGATGAAGAAGAGGAAGGCGGAGGGGAAGTTGTACACGTTGGCCACGCAGGGGTGGTAGCTCTGGTCGTGCGCGCGGTGCAGGTCGCCCCGCAGGTAGGCGATGCCCCACCACATGGAGGCCATGACCAGCCAGGCCACCGTGTAGGTCAGCAGGAAGATGAGCAGGTTCCAGCGCCACTTGAGGTCCACCAGCGTGGTGAAGAGGTCGGAGAGGTAGCGGCTGCTCTCGCCGCCCAGGTTCCCGTGCTGCACGTTGCAGCGCCCGTTCTTGTCCACGAAGCGCTGCCGCTTCCTGCGGGCGCTGCCCCGGCCGGAGCCCACCGCCTGGTACTCGTCCCAGAGGTGCCTGCGCACGGCCGACATGCCGGGCCGAGGGCGGGAGACCCGGGGCCGAGCCGGCAGAGCGCTCCCCGGCTAGACAGGCCCTTTGTCTGGGGCGCCCCGCGCAGGGCTGCCGGCCGGCCGGCAGCAGCGGATCTCTCCCCGACGGGGCTCCGGCTTCCCTTTGTCTGGTACGCTTCGGAGCCGGGCTCCGCTCCGGGAGCGCTGCCTCCCGTCGGCGCTTCAGCCCAGGAGCGGAGCGGAGAGCGGCTCAGCCCCTGCTCCTGGGGCTCGGCGGGTTGTGGAGCCCGCAGGGAAGTGGCTGAGCTGTGAACGTTGGGGGGCGGGGACGGGCTGTCGTCCCCCCCCCCCCAAGCCTCTGCACCTATCAGCGAGCGCAGCTCCTGCTGTCTGGTCCCCTGCGGAGGAGGCAAGTCCAGATTCATGAAGCCAGGACCAGGGAAGAGAGGGCCAGCAGCAGAGAATCCGGGTAGGGTTGAGCCGGGGCTTCCCCCACGCTGGTTATCACAGGGAGACGCGGGGGCAGTAACGTGGGGTAGGGGCAGAGAAGAATTTCTGACCCCCCATTGGCTGGGTTGATTCTCGGGGATTTAGTCTGTGGGGTGTGAATCCATTCTGGTTGGGATGGAGGAATAGGCACTGCCAGAGACGAAAAGTACAATCCAATCTGGCGGCGAAACCCACATCAAGGGGCGATGTTTTTTGCAATTACACATTGTACAAAACACGGCAAACATCAGGCTAAGCGCCAGGGACACAGTGTAGCCTTTCCTGCTCTTATTGTAGGCAGGGCGCTAACTCGCGACACCGGCATCCAAA